AATAATGTATTTGTGTTTGTTTTTAGTCTGCAGCATTTGTATTTCGAGAATGTTTCAAACTCTTCTAAATTGTGAAACATAATGTGTTGATTCCATTAAAAAAAATATTTGCCCTGTGACTGAGCTCACTAATATTCATAATTCTAAATAAGTTCTGTTAATCAATGAAGGAAAGATATGTAAATGATATGCAAATTATTATGCAAATTAGCCCCGGCGCTATGCATTTTTTCTGGGGAGAACCCTGGGAATGAATCAGTATAAGGACTTGTAATTATGTTTGACGTATTGAATTTTTGTAAAGTTAAATTGTTACTGACTGTTTGAAAGTTCAAACAAAGTACTTGGAATGCTGAATTCTAAAAAACCTGGCTGTAAGTGTTTTTACCAATTCTCAATCCACCAGTTGTCACAACTCTATAAACTTCTATGTATAATTGCTTTCAGGACAATAAATACGATGTGGGAGGTGGAGAAAGATTTGTCAGTTTGACTGATTTAGTAGAGCATTATAAGAAAAATCCTATGGTTGAAACTTCTGGAACCGTTGTTAATTTGAGAATGGTAAGATAAGAATATTTGTCAGCATACGATGATATGTTTAGTTTAAAATTTTATTGTGGGGAAGAAAGTAATATATTCAACATAAAACACTTTTAATTCAGAATACGAAAAAAAAAACCAGCAAACTGAAAAAGTATTTTTATTTTTGATATAAATATTACTGTGTCATTTATGAAATAAGTGATGAGTTTCAAATAATTCAAGAAGTGTTATTTAATTACAGGGTAGGATTGTTTGGATGAATTCCAAAAACAAGCACTTATAAACTGACCACTGTACATTTGTGTGTCCATTCGACAAACCATTCGTGTATGCATATAATGCCTATGTCCACACCTGTATCTCAAATATGTCTGGACCAATCACATTCAAACATTACACATACATCATTTATCTTGAGTAACATGTGCAGTTTGATTTAGGGGAATAAGTGCAATATACACTAAAGCTGTTGTGGCCCTAAAACAATGTATGATTATGTAGAGTGACATTATGACCCTATTACTTCCAATCTCACGGAATGTCAATTTAATGATACATTGTGTCAATATCTTTTTATTTGCTGTGCATCATGGGATATCACGCATACATATTTACACTTGGTCACTATTTCATGGACTTGAATCAGTTTTTTCTTGGCTATGAATTCGCTTCAATTTTTCCTGACTTTTTGTTCCACTATGTTTGGACATTATGTTTTTTCTCATGATTCCTTAATAGTGCATCATGGGAAGTGTATGCACATACATTCCTATTGCGAATGAATAAATGACTTTTCGTATTCCATGGTGGCCAATCATTGTACTTATTTTTATATTTATTCTAGCCATTCAATGCAACTCGGATCAGTGCGTCGGGTATTGATACACGAGTACGTGAACTCATGAGAACATTGGACAAGCCAGAGGGTGGTACAACAAAAGCTGGATTCTGGGAAGAATTTGAGGTATTTATCATAAACCATGGCTTGTCCTACCACTCTGCTTATACCTTGTTATGCTGCATTATTATTTGATCCAAGTTACCATGTTCTATGACACACAAAGCTGACTTTGTTCATGACATGCAACCATGACACATGGCAAATACAAATACCAACTACCATATTCCATATCAAAGAACACTTACCATGTTCCATAACACACATCAAAAAACACTTACCATGTTCCATAACACATATCAAAGAACACTTACCATGTTTCATAAGAAATAGAAAATAACACTTACCATGTTCCATAACACATATCAAAAACACTTACCATGTTCTATAACACATATTAAAAATAGTTACCATGTTCCATAACAAATAGAAAATAACACTTACCATGTTCCATAACATATATCAAAGAACACTTACCATGTTCCATAACTCATAAAAATAACACTTACCATGTTTCATGACAAATAAAAAAATAACACTTACCATGTTCCATAACACATATCAAAAAAACACTTGCCATGTTTCATAACAAATATCAAAGAACACTTACCATGTTCCATAACATATATCAAAGAACACTTACCATGTTCCATAACACATATTAAAAACACTTACCATGTTCCATAACTCATAAAAAATAACACTTACCATGTTCCATAACACATATAAAAAAACTATTGCCATGTTTCATAACAAATATCAAAGAACACTTACCATGTTCCATAACACATATTAAAGAACACTTACCATTTTCCATAACACATATTCAAGATCACTTACCATGTTCCATAACATATATCAAAGAACACTTACCATGTTCCATAACACATATTAAAACACTTACCATGTTCCATAACACATATCAAAAAACACTTGCCATGTTTCATAACAAATATCAAAGAACACTTACCATGTTCCATAACACATATTAAAGAACACTACCATGTTCCATAACATATATTAAAACACTTACCATGTTCCATAACATATATCAAAGAACACTTACCATGTTCCATAACACATATTCAAGATCACTTACCATGTTCCATAACATATATCAAAGAACACTTACCATGTTCCATAACACATATTAAAACACTTACCATTTTCTATAACACATATCAAAAAACACTTGCCATGTTTCATAACATATATCAAAGAACACTTACCATGTTCCATAACACATATTAAAAACACTTACTATGTTCCATAACTCATAAAAAATAACACTTACCATGTTCCATAACTCATAAAAAATAACACTTACCATGTTCCATAACACATATCAAAAAACACTTGCCATGTTTCATAACAAATATCAAAGAACACTTACCATGTTCCATAACACATATTATAGAACACTTACCATGTTCCATAACATATATCAAGGAACACTTACCATGCTCCATAACACATATTAAAAACACTTACCATGTTCCATGACAAATAGAAAATAACACTTACCAATTCCATAACACACAACAAAATGACCAAAATTTATAAAATTCCATCTTTTTTTCTAATACCATGCATGCTCTATGTACTGTAGAATACTTTATTTTCGATTGGAATTTTTGCTATTTTCGCTGAAGAAATGATTCAGTGAAAATAAAATCCAGCGAATATGCTTTTTTAGTCCCCGTTCAGGCGCAGCCTGAAAAGGGGACTTTATAATTCAGGTTATGTCCATTTTTCCGTCTCCAACATTTTCTCAGAAATTCTACAGCAGATATCAGGGAAACTTGGCAGGTTAATGAACAAGTCTCCTCCAAGTATGCACGTAATTTATTTTCCAGATCTGAAAATCCCAAGTGGGTCTTTTTCACGATTTTCATCAAAAATTACCTCTTCCGGCAACATTGACAGAACGTCTGCGCATGCTCAGAATAAATCAATTACTGTAAAATACTTTATTTTTGCTTGCAACATTTTTTTGCTATTTTCGCTG